TAATCTGATCTCAATTGTCTTGTTTTCCGCCAGGTCAGTGACAACTGGAGAGCTTTCCTCTTTCTCTCTGTGAGCCTTCAGTTGACCAGCTGGTTGCTGGTCATTTACTGGTACCGCTGCCGCTGGCGTCACCATCCCATCAGCAGGACACTTGTAGCTCACGCACAGCCTCCCTATTCCAGCCCTGGTGACGTGGCAGCAAACATCAACACAGAGTTCAGACGGATAGATAAAGTTGTGACAGGAGTGCCTGGAGCCCAAGTTATTGTTACCGACAGCTGGATACTGAAGGTGGGTGTTCAAATGCTCACCTCCTCAGAAATAGGTCAGTTAATGACACTGGAAAAATGATCTAGAAATAAGTAAAAATGTCCTAAATTAAATGTATTTGAGAAATACATGTAAATGAGATAGTCTGCCAATAGAATGAGTAATTTTACTCTTAAAATAAGATAATTAGATAATATGCACTGAAAATAAGACAATGTAATTGTGTTTTCTTATTTTAAATATAAATTGTCCTGTTCCATTGGCAAAATGTCTCTTTTACCTCCTCAATCCAGGAACAAATGCACTTTTTTAGGCTTAACTGGCTTTTAACTCAAGATCATATGTTTATATATCTACTTATCGCATAAAGAAGGTTGAGGAGGGTCTGTCAATCTAGTTTTTTTTTCCCTTTAATTGCCAGCTTATATGTTTTTTTTACCCAGTGTGCACTGCATCAAATTGTTCTCTATATTCTCAGCATATTGGATCGATGAAAAAAATGGCATAATTAGAGTTCTGTTCATTTTACTGCGCTGGCACTGCCTACATTCACACTGGTATTTTTTATTCATAAAGTAGGCTATACCCCTCCTTTCATTTGGACCATTTATTTAGGCAGTTTCCATTTTCTGTTGGGCACAAAAAGTTGGGTTTCAAACTCCTACAAATAACTGTCGCAGAAATCTTTGAGCTTTTCTGGAAACGATGCCATTTTCTTTTTTAATTTCAGCTAAATTGGATTATTTTTGTGAATGTTGTAGGGCCTGTCAACACAGCTCTCCCCCAAAAACATAACACAATATTAGTGTTTTTCCAGTCACTTTTCACACATGTCTGATTCTTGACTAGATTCCCAGTTTAATTCAGAATCCTAGCCAGAGCTTCCATGGATCTGGAATCCTTTCTTGACAGCATTTTAATTAAGGATTTAAAATAGCAATTGAGCTAATTGAATGCCATAAATCTCCCCTACTTTCAGCTCCTCCGCATGCAAAGAAAGATAGCAGCGTTTGCAATCCGGTCATTCAAATCACTTTCTTGTGAAATACTTTGGTTTCCAGTAGCAATTTGAGCAGAACTGATAATCTCCAGGAAAAACTGGGGCCTAAAAATGAAGATAGATGGAAAATCTAAGTTTTAATACATGAAAAAAACAACAGAGCTGAAAGGACAAACAAAAGTAAACCATCCAATTGGAAATTGAAGCTCAACCAGTAAGAGAGACAATATTAAAAAGGTTTAATTTATGGAGGACCCGCTCTACCATATTTAAAAATAAATACATAAATAAATAACTGCTCGATAAATGAATAAGCATGCAATTAATACAATAAATAGGGTAATTATTACAATAGCAAATAAATAAAGATGCTACCTAAAAGAGATTAGCTCTGTAATTAATATAAGATCTCTGTAAGGAAAATCCTTTTAATCTATAATTGTATTACTCACCCAAATCTTGATTAAATGTTTCTAACTGAGACATGGCTAGATGAAAATAAGGAGACGCAGATTTTATGAGAGACTACACCTCATGTACAATCTTCTCCATCAGACTAGACTGTTTAAAAAAGTGTGAAAACTCGTTATTCTGTGTAATGATTCACTAAAGTGTAGAAAATTGATTTCGGGTGACTGAATCTTTTTTTTAAACATCTGGCCGTCCAAGTGCAAGGCTCTGTTCGAGACATGTTTATAGACCTCCAAAGTCCCAAAAAAAAAACCCCAATATTTTTTATGATTTTAATGAACATTTATCTGTGATATGCTTCGAACACGACAACTTAATTATTGTTTGAGGAATTTAATGTACATATTGACAACCCTGAAGACAGAGCTGCTAATTAACTGTGTGACATAATTAAAAGTTTTAGTTTGACTCAACATGTTAACCCTTTAAAGGGCAAGTTAGTGTTTTTGATCACTAGCATCCCCTTTACAAATGGACCTCCCCCCGTCCCTCAGTGAGGTCTAGAAGCACAAGATCTATATCCACCTATTCAGCAAAGTTCCTGCTATGTGGCGGTACATCTTATTTTGGCATTTCACCCATTAGATGAGCCCTTGAATGATATATTTCCTACTGTAAATTAAGTTTAAGTCTTTCTGTGTGGAGTTTGCATGTTCTCCCTGAGCATGCGTGGGTTCCCTCCCAGGGTACTCCTGCTTCCTCCCACAGTACAAAAACATGACTGTTAGGATAAATTAAGTTGAAAAATAGGTTGTCAAGTTAAGAAAAAAAAATAAAAAGTTACAAAGTAAAGTTAAAAGTTAATAAGCCTAGTTAACAACTGCATTTAGATTTATAAACTAAAAAAAAAGTGCCAGTATCAGCATTAAGCAAAAAAAAAAAAGTGTGTTTTTCATGAATTTCTTATAGAATCACTCTAGTTATTTTTCTTAATATATTCAGGAAGTTGGCTTTTCTTATTACATTGACATTGAATTTTGCCAT